ATTTTACTACTTTTCCATTATAAACAAATCGATCGCATTATCTGACCCTTGACATTCCTTCTGTCCAAAACTCTCGTAATTTTCAGCCTTGCTAATGCGCTTTGGTCAATCGCCGTAGTTCAAGACATGTATCACAGCAGCACGATGGGTCCAGACTTCAAATCGTCCAACTAGCGTGCGCGCAGCATGTTGTGTCCATGCGGTGCTCGGTTCAGGCGTTTATGCTTGTGCTTCTAGACTAGTGGGTGTTTGGTTACATTGCTTTCGCAACTCCAAGTTTGAAAGAGACATCGGAGCTGCCTTTGCATCACATGCTCCCGACCAGGCCTACCTCTTCAAAGACAACAGGTATATTCTCTTTCACTTCACCCCTGGGAAAAACGGTGACTACATCATTAACGGACCGAAGGAGGTCATCCCTGGAAACTGGCCCTCCCTCAACGGCGTCCTGCCCTGCATGAACAGAGGGATCGATGTTACCAAGTTTCCTCACGGTAACCCCGTGCCGGCAGAGATTGGCCGGGATGAGTTGTAGAATGAGAGCTATCACCTCAGCAGTGTATCTATCTCCCCACGGGTAACGTGTAAGCAAGTCTGGACTCTAGACATTGTGCTAAATCACGGGGTTTTCTTGTTCTTTGTAATGTGTGGGCATGTATGCTTTATGTTATTTGTAATGTGTGCGCGAGTATATTGTAATTAAAGTATGGGTTAATTTGTTCCGGATGGCCTGATGACTGGATTTCTGCTTCTCATTCTGGCAATATGTTCCCGGTCTTTCTTTCTTAATATGGGGTAGTGAATTAGGCAACAGTTGATATATTAGGTTTTTTTTGAATTATATACAATGATTCTTTTAGAAACCGCGATTTCAAGTATTGGAAAGGTAAGGTGGTGGATGGTCCTATGGGCTAGACTGGCTTTGGTCTGGATGTGAAACTATTCCCAAGTTTAGAAACACGTGGGTCGGGCGGGGAACTGAACCAGGCTTCGGCTGCAGGTACGGTCCTTCTCCGGACAAGCCTATTCGTGACGCGTGTACGTGTTTCTCATGGGTTTGTCTACAAAAACATGAGTCTCGTGGGTAAATGCAAATCTCTTTTTTTTCTTCTCAGAAACATAAATGCAAAGTTATCCTTTTACCTTATTAGGACACACTACCTCCGTAGCAAAATATAAGACGTTAGTCAAGTCCACGTGGCGCCACAAGGTCAACCTTGTCCAGTTAACCGTTATTATGGCCGTTATGACAGATGGGGCCTACATGTTAGTCTCTGCAAAAGAACTCCCAATCCCATAAAAAGAAGAATCCATTGCCTCTCTTTCATTTCAGTTTGGCAATACCCGGAGTTCTCAATAGAAAAATGAGCAAGATGAAATTTATTGACAATACCCAGAGTTCTCAATAATTCGTTGTTGAGATGTTAGGGCATCTCTAATGCGGGCCTCCAAAACGGACATTGTGTTTGTCCACATACTAGTCCGCAGACAGTGATACAAGAATCGGCAATCCAACCTTGCCTCCTCTGTTTTTATCAAGCATGCGAGCCCAAAAATCACATATGAAATCTTCGACGAGTGAAATATTTAAATGCGACGGTACATCTGATTTAAATGTCACAATCCAACTAAAATTTCAAATTATATAGTTCAATCTTGAATTCAACCACACATGTTATAGTTGTCCCTGGACCGAGGGTAACGGTGGATGAAAAACGAACAGATGCAGAATGACTTCAAATGGTAAAGCTGCATCTAGACAGCACGGTCCAGATGTTTGCGGCTAATTCGAGAGTCTGCTTTGAAGATGCCCTCCCCTCCCCCCTCTCCCCTCGTGTTAACGGCCATAGTACAGTACAGTAGTAGTAGTAGTATAATAACAATGGAAATCATTTGCAGATACGAGAAGCTATAAACAAGAGGAAACGCGCAGCAGTGACGCGGCCCTGACTGTAAAGCGTGATCCAATTCCAAACTAATCATGCGGGCCAACCCCAACCAACGCAGACCATTCAAATCGGCAGCTAGCACACTCGGTGCCGCGGTGGCATGCAGCCAGGCCTCCTAGCAACCTCATCACCTAACCAAACCAAACCAAACCAAACCAACTATGCATCCATGTATACTATGATGACTAATACCTTCATCACAACCTAATTAAACCGGTCAGGATAACACTAATTTTCCCCGCCTCTATCCATAAACAATCGCGGCACGACGGCACCATCTAAGTATTTTACCAGGAAACCGAATTTGATTATTCATCAAATCGTTCACACTTTTTAACAATAATTGATCCACATTTTCAAGCCACAAGCCGATCGACGGACGGGCGCACGCAAGCACGAATGAACGAATGGTGCTTGTTTTTCTTAGGCACAAAAATATCCTCTGCGCAAGTGGGCGCATGCATATATGCGTGTTGTTGTCCTGGAATTAAGATCGGATCAAAGCTGTAATCTTATTCCTAATCTCGCGGTCAAACGGCTTAAACAAGGCAGGGTGGGCATGGACCATTCGCCATTATTGAATCCCTCAGACGGTGTTGTGCGTGGTGGGATAATGACATATTTTTTTCTTCTTATTCTTCTTTTTTTGTGAATGGACAATGACATGTTTTCTTCTACTGTACTTGTGTGCATTTTTCTCTCCTTTTCTGAGTTTGAACACGGAGATATTTATGGGCCTCGTGTATTTCAAGCTATTCAAAAAAAAGAAGAGAAAAAACTGCCTGCGTGGAGATGAAAAATCCAGTAGCCTAAGCAGCTCTTGTACAATTTTGATTTTGGTATAATTATTTTTTTACTCTCGCATGGTTCGAGAAAAAAGTGCGGCCTTTCTTTATGCATTCTTTCCTCGGTTATGGTTACATTTCTATAAAAAAAATTCATTTATACACAATATAAACTCAAAATTTCCATCCACTCAAACTTATTGCACGTGCAAACACGGTCCAAAAACGGTGAAGTGGGAATGCAATTGCAGGTGCGAGGGAGGCTAAGGCAAAGGCATCTTGTGTTTCTCACCTAGAGGTTATACGCCGCTCTTAAGTGAGAGGCGTCATTCTAATTAGTAATGCGTTGATAACGGGACAAACAACTACACGACCTTTCTTCATATTCAAACCAGGGAGTATCTTCTTCTTAGAAATTTCCCGCCATAAAAGGAATTCTTAGAAAACCGGAGGTCGGAAATCCTGCTTTATAGACGGGGTTGTTTGGTTCGTAGGTTTTATATACAATAAAGTCGCCGTGATTCTCCACGACAACTCATTTCCACTATATGAACCCAAAATTTCCATCCACTCGAATTCACTTGGACGGTGCAAACACAACCCTAGAACAATGATGAAGTGGGAATGCCGTTGCAAACTTGGCTTCTTTTCTTTCCTTTGTTATGTTTGTGGAATCCTACGAATGAAGCAGGCCCTTGATTACCGTTTCTCCAAGGCAAGGATATATGCCAAATCTAGGTAAATCTAATCCGATCTTATTGCTAACCTAGCTAGAAAGTTACTGTCCATGGTAGTCGACGGGGGTTCGTGGCCACTTGAGAATAAATAAACAAACAAACAACGGAGCTTTCCTTCCTTGAAAGCCCGGAGAAGAAAAATACCGCTGGCGGGCACGTGGAAGGGAAGGGAAGGGAAGGGAAGACCTTCCGTTCATCCACCTCGCGCGAGGCGGAGCCGTCCACGCCGTCGTGGGCCGAAGGGAACCGCGGGGAGCCCCGTTACGCGAAACCGGAGTTCCTCAGGGGCCAGGGTGTAAAAGGGCGGCCGCCACGTCGGACCCACCGAGGGGATAAATAACGGGAGGAAGAGGGGCACGCCGGGACGGAACAGAGAGAGGGAGAGGGAGAGCAGAGGAGAAAAATCAATCCACCGAGCAGAGAGGAGAGGAGAGGAGAGGAGCGACCTCCGCCGCGCTGCCGCGGTGTTGACCCCTCCCCCCACGCTGGATCCCCCCACGGCGGCGGGCGCGTCCTTCGGCGGCGGCGGCGCGTTGTTATGCCGAGAGGCGCCCAGGTCCGTGCCGCGCCCCGTTCTGCGATTCGCCCCGACATGCCGCCGTGGTCTCCTCTGTTCTCGTCCCCTCGCGCGATCCCGGCCGATTCAGGCGCGGGGGCACGGTAGGGTCGGCGCGGGAGGGGTTTGGGCGATTGCCGGGGTGCGGAATTCGGGTTTAGCCGGTGGGATTCGCGCGGGTCGCGGTCTGAGATCCGGGGGGAGGGTTTGGTCGGATCGGCGCGAGATTCGCCGGCCTGGGATTTTGGCACTGCTGGTAGAATCCCGGGGAGGTTGGCGGGGGCAATCGGTGCGTGTTTGGCCGGTGAATTACGCGGGAGAAGAATCGTGGGGTCTGGTGGTGCTCGTGGGCGGGGTTGAGGCCGGGTCGCGGCCCCCCCGTTCACCACTACCGTCCTAGATTTACTCGAATTCGGCTACGTGTTCTGGTTTGCGTGGTATATGTTTGATTGATACGATTCTAGTGTAGCCGTGGGCGGTGGCGCGGTCATACTTCCCCGTCCGGCCCGTCTACTTTGATGAGTTCTGCCGCGGTTCGGCTGGTTTAAGGTTCCGTCACAGTAGTTCCCCATGTACCGCACGGTAATACTTGCGTGAGTTTGGGGGTAGGAAGTCGGAACGGATGATGGAAACACACGGTTCTGGGGTCGCTTTGTTATATAGCCTAAATTCCTGACTAGTCGCATCATGGTTTGATCCATGTACACCGTTGGCAAGATGAATCAGGGGAAGGATCGATTAGACCAAACTGTTGAGGCAGCCCAGCGTTCTTTTCTTACACTTGATGATATGCATGCGCCTCATGTTGTGTCAGTCTGCTAAGTTTGGCTCTGATGTATTTAGTTACCCCTTCGTCACGTGTTTTCAGCTATTGGTCTCTTGCTTACGAACAACTTCTGTATTCTTGCAGGTTTCAACACCATTCGCCTCTGGGTTTCTAGCATTCTCAGAAAGGATATGGAGCGCACCCTCTATGCAAGTTCCCCTGTATCCCACGTCTCGCTGCTTGAGCAAGTTCTTGGCTGGAGATTTTGTCTTTACGGAGACTTCCTTGTCATCTCCTTCGTCAATTGCACCTGAAGAACACACCTGGCTTAGCGACTACCGTGCCTGGTCCCATGCTACTGGACATTAGGGCCGACTAGTGATTGCGGTGCACATCTATTCGAGCATGGTGCGTCTCTTCTCTGGCAACATTTTCGTAATTTTTGCCGTGGCACTGGTCAGCCAGCAAAAGTTACCATCAGAACTTCTTTGGACACTTGGGATCTAACCCGTAGATCCTCCTTGTCGGTTACAAGCTCTAGGTATGCTCTTATCCGAGAAGCCAGTAGCACAATAATTTTCATGGCACTTCTGTTTTTATTGTCACTGTCTCATGCATCTAGCGCTCTCAGCAGGTTCTGGTTTTCTTTGCTTCTGTCAGCTCTCTTCTCCCCTATCACTGCGAGTTTTCAGTTTGTCCGGCTTGATCTTTGGTGTGTATAGTGTGCACTGTTCTTCATCAGGCTTCACTTCTGATGGCGTAACGTGAGGTATGCTTGAAAGTTTTGAATTTAAGCAGGGCTATGCATGACTCAGCCATGAAGCATAATTAGGAATGTTTACATGAGCATTTCTTCCAACGGTCTAATCCACTTTGTTTAATTTCAGGGCAAAGGTGTTCAAGTTTATTTGTCACAAAGTATGGGTATTGCTTACAGATGTTTGAAAAAAGCCTGCAGTGACTTTGGTGATCTACTCTCCAAAGACATTCCGGCAATACGCGTATGAGTCTTGTTTGTGTTTATAGGACTGTTCAAAAATAAGGACAGCTTTGCATTCTAGCTAATAAAATGGAGAGGTGAGTTGGCCCTTTCTCTCTTTTGTCAGATGATAATGAGCTTCCAACTCTGTACATACTTGCTAACTTTTTTTTTCTTATATTTGCGATACAGGTATAACATTATTACGGAAGTGGGTGACGGTACGTTTGGTAGTGTTTGGCGTGCAATCAATAAGGAAAGTGGTGAAGTGGTATGTCACTCTGCTTGCCCAATATTTGCATGTTATGCATTACTTTTTGCAGTGGCAACCTTTGTTTATGTTGTTATGCCGGACGTTAGCAAGCTTGGGGCTGTTTATTGTATTTCTACTAAATAATGTGAAACACCTCCTTTCCAGTTTGTATTGTTACACTCTGATACATCTTCACGACTAGCCGATATTCTTATGTTGCCACTGCCATACCTGGATTTTCTTTCACCTTATTGACATATATGCACATGCCTGTTCTTCGCAGGTTGCAATCAAGAAAATGAAGAAAAAATATTTTTCTTGGGAGGAGTGCATCAATCTCCGTGAAGTGAAGGTATTTTATGTTATGTTACATAACATATCATGGAGCCATATTGCATCATGGCTTCCTTCACTTCATTAGATTAAATGTATGTTTCAACTTCAACAGTCCCTCCGAAGGATGAACCATCCAAACATTGTGAAGCTCAAGGAGGTCATAAGAGAGAATGACATGCTGTTCTTTGTTTTTGAATACATGGTACAGACTATTGATATTTTGTTTTGTTTTGTTTTTATAGTCAGTATAAGTTGACTAATGTTTTATGTGCTCTATGTGGGGTTGTTAGGAATGCAATCTATATCAGCTGATGAAGAGCAAGGGAAAGCCTTTTTCTGAGACTGAAATCCGGAACTGGTGCTTTCAAGTATTTCAAGCTCTTAGTCACATGCATCAACGTGGATACTTTCATCGGGACCTTAAGCCTGGTATGGCATATTCTCTGGACTCTGGAATTGTTAATAATGTTTATTGTAATTGGGGAACTATGTTTATTTATATGGTCTAGTGTTTTAGAGCCTATACCGATACTCGAAGAAGTATATGAAAGAGCGTTACCAGTATCAAAACATCCCTCGTGTTGTGTGTGGTTGAAAAAGAACAGTTTGAGAACATCTTTTGTTTTTCATCTTGTCATAAGCTGTGGTTTCATGCAATTTTTAGTTTGAACAACTCAAGAATCAAGTCTAGTAGCCGTGGATGGATAACCATCCAGTCGGCCATTGACCGACAAGGCTAACACCGCTAAAAAACAATTTGAGTGGTTTTATTGATCTTCTTTTTATTGATTATGCCTTCCCATGCTCTTGACAGAAAGTGTGCAGTAATGACAGATAAAATTAGGCATAATAGGGACACTTGAAAGACTAGTTGTATATGACTCTTAACATGTCAGTAAAAAAGGAGTCAACAATCCTTGTTAGCCTTATTAAATGCTACTGTGTTCCGTTTGGAGATTTCAGATTGACCTTATTTATTGGCATTAGTAAACAAGAACCATCATCTTTTGCTCTTTTGACCTGTTGTTATTTCAGAAAATCTGCTAGTTACAAAGGAACTCATCAAGGTAGCTGATTTTGGGCTTGCTCGTGAGATTATTTCTGAACCACCATACACAGAATATGTGTCAACTCGCTGGTAGGCTACTTCAGTCTTAAACAGCTTAAATCATACTCCCTCCATCCCAAAATAAGTGTCTCAACCTTAGTACAATTTTGTAGTAAAGTTAGTACAAAGTTGAGAGTTGAGACACTTATTTTGGGACGGAGGGAATAGTACATACACAGCACTAACGCAAGGATACTAATGTTTACTGCCAAATTAGGTATCGTGCCCCAGAGGTTCTACTTCAAGCTTCTGTTTACAGCTCAGCAGTTGGTGAGTAGAGAATATTTGTTCCTTTACAAGAAAGCAAATTGCTACAATTTGCAATGTGCTGATTCCCTGTTGCTTTTCTAGACATGTGGGCTATGGGCGCCATTATTGCCGAGCTTTTTTCACACCGACCTCTTTTCCCTGGCTCAAGGTACACATGATCCTTTTTCTGCTGAACCTCATTTGGTTCCCCTATTCTCTTGGTTGCTGTGCCCAATTTAATTGAATTTTTTTAGTTTGGTCCTAATGGTTGCTGGGAGCTAAATATTAGCCAAAGATGCTGTTGATTATATATGAAATAACCATCATCGGCCATTTTAACAAGTAAAACCATTTTTTTAGTCTAGAAAGCACCCCATAATGTGAAAAAAATGATGTGGTGATTCTGTTGTGGTATGTTCTTCCAAGTAATTGCTCAAGTGGGGGCATTTTTGTAACTTTATTCTTTGTCCCTCAGTGAAGCGGACGAGATATACAAAATCTGTAGCATTCTTGGCACACCAAATCAGCATACTTGGGCTGGAGGACTGCAGCTGGCAGCATCTATCCATTTTCAGTTTCCTCAGGTAGAATCTTTTGATACCATTCCTCTCCAGTTCTGAGATTATTAGGAGCTATTGATGGCTAAATGCTGTTTCATATTCTCAACAGTCTCGATGCATAAGTCTTTCAGAAGTGGTTCCCACAGCAAGTGAAGATGCGCTGAACCTTATTTCGGTAAGTATCCTATCAGCAGTTCCAGTCTTTCCTAAAAGTAGTGGTGAAGTGATCATGTTCAGATAAATGATTAGCCTCAACTTTTACATTTGCTGCAGTGGCTTTGCTCATGGGACCCCCGTAAAAGGCCAACCGCAGTGGAGGTTTTGCAGCATCCCTTCTTTCAGGTCATAATATTTCCAATGTCTTTGCATACCACATTGATGATGCGTTGATTTGGTTCATGGACCTGACCAGAATTGTTTATGTCACAGCCATGCTTCTATGTCCCCCCTTCACTTCGTTTCAGATCGACCGGATATGCAACAACACCACCATCAGGTTTGTCAATTTTCTCACATACACATCTGTATAATTTTCATTAGAATACCATTGTTGAAGCAATTCAAATAATGGATTCTGCAGTTGGGGCTAAAGGGGCTATGGACCAGAAGAATGCTAGGAGATACCCTGTGGGGACTTTAACCAACGGGAGACCGGCAGTCAATAACTCGTACCTGAGCACTAGTAATGTCCCAGCAAGAGCAGCTGGTGTGCAAAGGAAGCTAGAGCTGGATCATCAGGTGAAACCAGAGGGCAACCATAAGCTGACGAAGGAGAACGCGATGAACCAGCCTTGGTCCCGACTACCACCAGCACCAGTGAGGAACAACGGTGAGTATTATTGTTAGTTCCTAAATCATGTAGTGCCGTACTTGGAATGGCGCCTCCGTTTTGTTTGAAGTCCTGGATTTTGCGCGTCTCTAATGCACATGAATTCCGTTGTGCAGGGAACTACCTCGCTGCAAAGGAGCAGATCCCTCATGGCGGCGTGCCTGACATAGCCGAGAAGCTGTCCCAGCTGTCAGTTACCTCCACCACCAACCGGGCGCCGATCATGTCTTCGGACAGGTTTGCTGACCTGAAGGGCGCTACCAGAGCCCACCAACCGGAGCCCGTGAGGCGGCCCGTGCCTCTGGGACCCAGGGACACGTGGCACGCCCGGAACGACCCCTTCCGGCGCACCTACGAGATGCCCGGCGAGAGGGCTCTCCTCCAGAGGAAGCTCGTCAGCTGAGGACCATCCCACCAATGCCCGCCTGCCTGCCTGCCTGCCGTCCATCTGCCCCCTTCGCATCATCGACGCCACCACCACCGCCGACCACAATAATCCAGCGGCCTCCTTCCCCGGCGGCCGCTGCCAAGTTTGTGTCTCCCTTTATCGTTCGGTGTTGTGATGAAAATAAAAGCCAGTCTCCCCCGGTCCTCGCATCGCTTGGAGGCGGCGGGGAGAGTGAAGAGTAGTGCCGCGTTTCCTTTGCGCTTTCGAGTGTCGGAAACGTGGATGATGACACATGCTTTGTGATTTGTGTGCAAAACCAACGATTGCTGGCGCTTATGTGACGTTGTGCAGCCACCGATGTGTCGTGGTTAAACTTATTGATGATTTCTTTGCTCTCGCATGGTTAGACATGTCCTGCATCTGACTGCTGATGTTTCTTCTGTTACGCGGTTGCTGCTTCGTATCCGTAATTTATTTACTCATTATGTGGGTATTACTCTATGTACCAGACAGACGCTGCGAGAGCTGTCATGGATGGCGTATTATTTTTCCAGTTGCGAGTACCGACGACGGCGACGGCGACGCGAGGGGTGATGGATTGATTTCTGTGGGCGTTATGGTCAGAGCGCGTGGGCGTCATGTGTGTAATGTTTGACTACGTAGCAGCAGCCCCAGAGCAGCAGCAGTACGTAGGCCTTTTGGGACCGAGGCGACGTCCGCCGCTGCCAAACCTACATCCATCCTATCGCCGCTCGCTCGCTCGCCTGCATTCACCAGATGGCCTCAGCCCCAAAAGCTGCCTGCTGCGTTGCTTCAGCGCCATGCTCCCCCCTCATCACGTGCATCTTCTTCTTCTTGACCAGGAGAAACATCGTCGTCCCGTGTGCAATTGTTTACGGCACCAGTACCACGTCCATGCTCCACGCTACGTGATGGCCCTTTTTTCTTTCTTTTCCAGCTTTCAACTCATAGAGATTTGGCATGCCAAATAATCGGTATCGCATTTTCATGGTTTGCCGCTTTACCACATAGTTCGTTTATGGTGGACAAAATTCCTGTTCTGACCTTTTCTGCAAAATTAATCACGAATTTACCTTGTTTTGAAAATATTTTTGTATCTGACTTTTTTTTATCACGCCAACCTCCTTGGCGGCAAACGCCAGGGTGCATGGCGTTTGGCCTTGGCCCACATTTGTCTAGTTGGTGCTGATGTGGCGACACGGAGACGCCATTCATCTTGGCGTTTGGAGGAAACGCCATAGCTCTTGGCGTTTGGTCCTAGTCCTTCACTTAAAAAATGCTATGTGCATCTTTAGTGAAGTTGCTTTTACAAATAATTCTCTTAATTAACTCATGTAATTAAAAAGCCTGCTGACCATCGTTGCAAAATGAATTAACCGGCACCTAAATGCAACCAATGCCAACAAATATTTTCTCTACTGATCGACTTTGGGTGAGGCGTAAGGGTAAGAAGGAGCAGATTTTCTAGGAGATTAATATGGCAGTTCGATTTTTAATTAATTAATCACATGGAAGATTTACCTTTTCAGAATATCTGTTGTTGTTACCCGACTAAGAGCATCTCTAATGTTGTTCCTCAAATCTTTCGCAACCGCCCAGCTGTGCTATCCAGACCGAGAAAGCCATCCAACGCAGTCTTGTGTTGGTCCGTGGCGTGGTCCGGACGCGTTTTCTTTCGTAAGCCGGAGACAAAACGTGAGGGACCTTTGCGAGAGTCCGGACCGCTGTCACGCCCACTTCTGACTGCCCCGGCCCATCCAAACCCCTCCTCCCTTGTCCTGTGCGCGCTTCCCGCTCGAAACGGTTAGCGCCAATCCAGAGCGTGAGTGTACACATTCATGCCGGACTAGAGCGGACGCGATCACTCACTGGCGTCGCCATTGAAGCGGCGCGCCGGCCGAAAGAGCGCTGCCCGCGCCGCTTCCCGGTTAACATGACTGTTCCGCGTTCAGATGATAGGACGGCGGCCAGTTCGTCCACCTGCCGCCCACATTGATGGCACGCGGTTGTTGAGACATCTCCTCCGTCCCTGTGCTGCCCGCCATTGCTATATAAACTGCTGCATGGCCATAGCCGCAGTCATCCGCCTCCGGTCCCTGTCCACACCACTTCCATCATGGATTCCTCCCCCACCAGAGCTCTCTGGGATGGGCTGACACGAGGAACATGGGCCAGCAACCGTTTAGATTAGGTAATTACATATAGCCGGACATGCTCTGTTTAGTTGATGTAAATATAATTATTTCATCCGGTTGTTCGAGTTGGTGTTAAAATATATGCGGCTAGCATTGAATGGCGTCCTCCCGCATCCGTGTCCGTGGACTGACCCCCTGCCACGGATGGATGCGGGAGGAAATTTGTGGATTACCGTTGAAAATGCCCTTACAAACCCACGCAAAAGGAGTACTTTATTTGTTGTCTACACGTGCCTACACCAAGACCAAGGTATTTTGTTTGAATCCTGAATTTTGATCTTTTTTTGACATTGTCTCTCCTTTTGCTACACATACCTAAATGGATATGTGTGAAGACTATGTTTTCTTTTTTCGAAACGGAGGCAAAGACTATGTTTGTGTGTTCTAGCAGCTTGCAAATTCCCCTGAAGAAAAAACAAGTGGTGATTTGGTCAAGAGATCATCTCATATACTGTAATTGTAATCCCTTTATTCAAGGCAGATATTTCGTGTGATCTCTTGATTTTCTTCTCCTTATTTGCGTGCATGATGTCAAATCAGGACGAGGTAACCACACATGCTCTAGCATGGGCTGTGCGATCAAGCAGGTCATTAATTACAGGAGATAATCAAGATAGTTACCTATAGAAGCAACTCCACTAATGATGCATGTAGCAGGACCGAACGCCAAGAGCTGTGGCGTTTGGCCCAGACGCCAAGATGGATGGCGTCTCTCCACATAAGCATCAACTAGGCAAGTGTGGGCCAGGGCCAAACGCCATGCACCCTGGCGTCTGCCATGCAAACTAGACGCCAGAGATGTTGGCGTGACCAAAAGAGGTTAGATATGAAAATCTTTTCAAAACAAGGTCAATTTATGATTAAGTTTGCAGGAAAGGTCAGAACATAAATTTTGTCCGTTTACGATCGCAACTAGAACAAAAAATTTCATGCATCAAACCAAGCAGCCTCATGGTACATACAAACTCTTTAGACGAAAGACGAGTCTTGTCCAGTCCAGTACACTTTTACAGATCTAGATTTTAACCCCTAAGATGGGAGTCGGTAGATAAACACTGGAGTTTGTAATGCCAAGCCACGCTGGATGCTTTGTTATCCAAACAACCTTTTTACCTCGTAAGATCGAGGTTGTTTATGCAACGAAAACCAAAGAATCTCTCCAGGTGGAACATGATGCAAATGGAGTTTCAAAAGAGAAAAGAAAAAAGGGAATCCTGTTCCACGCAATTCTACTTGCTCCTCTAGCTTCCTTTCTCTAAGCATTCCAGCTGTATATATAGAGAATTTTCTTTCCCCTGATAAGCTACTTTGAATCAAAAAAATACACCTTTATGCAAATAGAAAAAGATGAATCAGGGCTACTGCAAGCTTCACAACACAAGACATGGACCGCGTCCCAGGAGATCTTGTCCAAGTAAGCAACATCGGATTCATTCAACACCAACAAATAGGCAGTTGTACATTCCACAAGATGATCTACCACAACAACACACAGAAACTTGTCCGAGAGTGAGCGTACAACGCAACGTGGAATCTTGAAAACAGCTACAGGTTCCTCTTATCTCCGCCAACAACAACGACGCGCAAGGGTTTTGCTCTTAAACCGAGTTCATAGCACGAACTAATACAATGGACACAAAGAACCAGGAGAGACCACAGCGCAGGTGCGTGCACGCCCTGCACCTGCCGCTCGCACCCGTCAATCGCCTGCAGCAGCAGAGGAAACACAATGAGCAAGTTCAAAAGATATGAAGAGGAAAGGCGACGAGCAAGTTCAAGATATTTGAGCCGCCAAAGGTAGCGGGAGACTCGTAGAGGACCCACATCGAGGCATCGGGATGGAGATCGAGAGCTGGGTCGTCGAGAAGGAGGTGCCGTTGGAGCGCTCGTCGTCCATCTCCGACCACGAGTCCCGCCTCCCCGGCCACTCGTCGAAGAAGGGCCTCAGCGGCTGGTTCTCCTGCTTAACATTTCCCATGAGCCCTGCCCCTCCACCTCCACCACCACCACCGCCACCGAAGGAGCGGCGGTCCTGCTCCTGGGAGTGGGACAGCGAGGCGATGGTTACCTGCCCAAGCTCCTGCGACGGCTCAAAGTGGGAATACGAGAAGCCGCCTTGCATGAGGCCGGAATCTCTAGGTTTCGACAGTTGGTACGGGGGCAGGCTGGATCCCATTGAGTGCCACGAGCTGTCCGTTGGGGAATCGATGGTGAAGCCCCTGTTGTTGTTTCCTGATGCTCCAGAGAAGAAGCTCAGTTCACCCACGTCAGATTTAGCTCCAAGGGAGTATCTGCATCATCATGAAACACATTAAAACCGTTAGTTTCTATACAAGATAAGGAAAAGGTGAACCAACCAAAAAATTTAGACAGGTCCAGCTCTAGCATTAGGATCCTTGTGGCATGAAATGAGATAAAATAAACATGTGCTGGTGATAAGATCACAAGACAGTTCCAAGTCCTCACTGGTTTAACCACAACTTGAATGTAGAGCATCTTAGTCGGCAGCAAGGCAAGGTACTGATACCAAGCTGGTACACACTACACACAGTGTTTTATCTAATTTGAAAAGGAGAGCCAGTGAAAGTTTTTAGATGCATAAGCAAAATGCTCTCAAACTCTGAAACAAGGGCAAACCATTCAAAAAGATTTCTCACACAGCATATACAAAGGCAGAAGAGCATTGCTTGCCTATTATAGGGAAAAACTACATTTGAAAGTAGACATTCAGTTGAGCTACGAAATGGTGTGCAAAAGACCACAAAGCAAATTACTCAAAAAGGAAGGAGCTAGACTTTA